AGGATTTTTGTGAGTTTTTTTACTTCTTTTGTGATACATGTATGTGGGTTACATCTTCGAGCGTGATTATTATGGATGTTGATTTTGTGAACTTGATAGATTGATTATCTTTTGTAGTTAACTTTGATCATGTTACCAAAGATTTTACTTTTTGTTATTTTCGTTACTTGTTAATAGTATTAGATAACCTCCTTGATTTTTCTTTTTGTCGCGATTATTTTTTAAGGAAATAATATATTTTGAACCGTGACTTTTCTTTATGATAGATGGCATGACAACTTTCTTAAAGGAATTAGTCTTATTTAGTAATTCTCTTTTGGAAAAAAAATTCTTTAGTTAGTTTAGTAGCTAGTAGTGAATAAAGTGGTTATTGGGCGTGATCTTTTCGTCCCTAAACCAACGTGTGGCTTGTTTTGGTACCAACACATTTACACTTTGGTATATGAATTGTTAGTAGTTTGAAACGAAAAATGATTGAAGTGATAATCTTTGTTGTAACTTTTAGGTTCTATTATTAACTCTTTGATTCATCATTTAGTCTTTTAAGCTATATGTGACTTTTTGAATTTTTTTATATCAATTGGACACTTGAGCTTAGGATATGCCATGAGTGGTGAGGATTTTTGTGAGTTTTTTTACTTCTTTTGTGATACATGTATGTGGGTTACATCTTCGAGCGTGATTATTATGGATGTTGATTTTGTGAACTTGATAGATTGATTATCTTTTGTAGTTAACTTTGATCATGTTACCAAAGATTTTACTTTTTGTTATTTTCGTTACTTGTTAATAGTATTAGATAACCTCCTTGATTTTTCTTTTTGTCGCGATTATTTTTTAAGGAAATAATATATTTTGAACCGTGACTTTTCTTTATGATAGATGGCATGACAACTTTCTTAAAGGAATTAGTCTTATTTAGTAATTCTCTTTTGGAAAAAAAATTCTTTAGTTAGTTTAGTAGCTAGTAGTGAATAAAGTGGTTATTGGGCGTGATCTTTTCGTCCCTAAACCAACGTGTGGCTTGTTTTGGTACCAACACATTTACACTTTGGTATATGAATTGTTAGTAGTTTGAAACGAAAAATGATTGAAGTGATAATCTTTGTTGTAACTTTTAGGTTCTATTATTAACTCTTTGATTCATCATTTAGTCTTTTAAGCTATATGTGACTTTTTGAATTTTTTTATATCAATTGGACACTTGAGCTTAGGATATGCCATGAGTGGTGAGGATTTTTGTGAGTTTTTTTACTTCTTTTGTGATACATGTATGTGGGTTACATCTTCGAGCGTGATTATTATGGATGTTGATTTTGTGAACTTGATAGATTGATTATCTTTTGTAGTTAACTTTGATCATGTTACCAAAGATTTTACTTTTTGTTATTTTCGTTACTTGTTAATAGTATTAGATAACCTCCTTGATTTTTCTTTTTGTCGCGATTATTTTTTAAGGAAATAATATATTTTGAACCGTGACTTTTCTTTATGATAGATGGCATGACAACTTTCTTAAAGGAATTAGTCTTATTTAGTAATTCTCTTTTGGAAAAAAAATTCTTTAGTTAGTTTAGTAGCTAGTAGTGAATAAAGTGGTTATTGGGCGTGATCTTTTCGTCCCTAAACCAACGTGTGGCTTGTTTTGGTACCAACACATTTACACTTTGGTATATGAATTGTTAGTAGTTTGAAACGAAAAATGATTGAAGTGATAATCTTTGTTGTAACTTTTAGGTTCTATTATTAACTCTTTGATTCATCATTTAGTCTTTTAAGCTATATGTGACTTTTTGAATTTTTTTATATCAATTGGACACTTGAGCTTAGGATATGCCATGAGTGGTGAGGATTTTTGTGAGTTTTTTTACTTCTTTTGTGATACATGTATGTGGGTTACATCTTCGAGCGTGATTATTATGGATGTTGATTTTGTGAACTTGATAGATTGATTATCTTTTGTAGTTAACTTTGATCATGTTACCAAAGATTTTACTTTTTGTTATTTTCGTTACTTGTTAATAGTATTAGATAACCTCCTTGATTTTTCTTTTTGTCGCGATTATTTTTTAAGGAAATAATATATTTTGAACCGTGACTTTTCTTTATGATAGATGGCATGACAACTTTCTTAAAGGAATTAGTCTTATTTAGTAATTCTCTTTTGGAAAAAAAATTCTTTAGTTAGTTTAGTAGCTAGTAGTGAATAAAGTGGTTATTGGGCGTGATCTTTTCGTCCCTAAACCAACGTGTGGCTTGTTTTGGTACCAACACATTTACACTTTGGTATATGAATTGTTAGTAGTTTGAAACGAAAAATGATTGAAGTGATAATCTTTGTTGTAACTTTTAGGTTCTATTATTAACTCTTTGATTCATCATTTAGTCTTTTAAGCTATATGTGACTTTTTGAATTTTTTTATATCAATTGGACACTTGAGCTTAGGATATGCCATGAGTGGTGAGGATTTTTGTGAGTTTTTTTACTTCTTTTGTGATACATGTATGTGGGTTACATCTTCGAGCGTGATTATTATGGATGTTGATTTTGTGAACTTGATAGATTGATTATCTTTTGTAGTTAACTTTGATCATGTTACCAAAGATTTTACTTTTTGTTATTTTCGTTACTTGTTAATAGTATTAGATAACCTCCTTGATTTTTCTTTTTGTCGCGATTATTTTTTAAGGAAATAATATATTTTGAACCGTGACTTTTCTTTATGATAGATGGCATGACAACTTTCTTAAAGGAATTAGTCTTATTTAGTAATTCTCTTTTGGAAAAAAAATTCTTTAGTTAGTTTAGTAGCTAGTAGTGAATAAAGTGGTTATTGGGCGTGATCTTTTCGTCCCTAAACCAACGTGTGGCTTGTTTTGGTACCAACACATTTACACTTTGGTATATGAATTGTTAGTAGTTTGAAACGAAAAATGATTGAAGTGATAATCTTTGTTGTAACTTTTAGGTTCTATTATTAACTCTTTGATTCATCATTTAGTCTTTTAAGCTATATGTGACTTTTTGAATTTTTTTATATCAATTGGACACTTGAGCTTAGGATATGCCATGAGTGGTGAGGATTTTTGTGAGTTTTTTTACTTCTTTTGTGATACATGTATGTGGGTTACATCTTCGAGCGTGATTATTATGGATGTTGATTTTGTGAACTTGATAGATTGATTATCTTTTGTAGTTAACTTTGATCATGTTACCAAAGATTTTACTTTTTGTTATTTTCGTTACTTGTTAATAGTATTAGATAACCTCCTTGATTTTTCTTTTTGTCGCGATTATTTTTTAAGGAAATAATATATTTTGAACCGTGACTTTTCTTTATGATAGATGGCATGACAACTTTCTTAAAGGAATTAGTCTTATTTAGTAATTCTCTTTTGGAAAAAAAATTCTTTAGTTAGTTTAGTAGCTAGTAGTGAATAAAGTGGTTATTGGGCGTGATCTTTTCGTCCCTAAACCAACGTGTGGCTTGTTTTGGTACCAACACATTTACACTTTGGTATATGAATTGTTAGTAGTTTGAAACGAAAAATGATTGAAGTGATAATCTTTGTTGTAACTTTTAGGTTCTATTATTAACTCTTTGATTCATCATTTAGTCTTTTAAGCTATATGTGACTTTTTGAATTTTTTTATATCAATTGGACACTTGAGCTTAGGATATGCCATGAGTGGTGAGGATTTTTGTGAGTTTTTTTACTTCTTTTGTGATACATGTATGTGGGTTACATCTTCGAGCGTGATTATTATGGATGTTGATTTTGTGAACTTGATAGATTGATTATCTTTTGTAGTTAACTTTGATCATGTTACCAAAGATTTTACTTTTTGTTATTTTCGTTACTTGTTAATAGTATTAGATAACCTCCTTGATTTTTCTTTTTGTCGCGATTATTTTTTAAGGAAATAATATATTTTGAACCGTGACTTTTCTTTATGATAGATGGCATGACAACTTTCTTAAAGGAATTAGTCTTATTTAGTAATTCTCTTTTGGAAAAAAAATTCTTTAGTTAGTTTAGTAGCTAGTAGTGAATAAAGTGGTTATTGGGCGTGATCTTTTCGTCCCTAAACCAGCGTGTGGCTTGTTTTGGTACCAACACATTTACACTTTGGTATATGAATTGTTAGTAGTTTGAAACGAAAAATGATTGAAGTGATAATCTTTGTTGTAACTTTTAGGTTCTATTTTTAACTCTTTGATTCATCATTTAGTCTTTTAAGCTATATGTGACTTTTTGAATATTTTTATATCAATTGGACACTTGAGCTTAGGATATGCCATGAGTGGTGAGGATTTTTTTGAGTTTTTTTACTTCTTTTGTGGTCTTACTTGCCCCAAGTGTGTTTCAAGGCGAAATTCTAGGTTGCACTTGGTTTGAAAAATAATTTTAGGCTTTTCTTGGATCGTTTGAGCTTTTTAATTGCCTACCCGCATACGTATTCCTTAGTTAACCCCTTTGAACCTTTAGCCTTTTTTTGTATATTACAAGCCATTTCCTGTTTGTTTTTATCCTCGTTTTATGCTCCTACCACCTTCTCTAGCACTTGAAGCTGCAGCTTAAGCTAAAAATATAAGTTTTGGGGGGAAGAGATGGGGAAATTGTGATGTGGGAGTTAATAAAGTTTTATGCCCCTATTTATTGGAATAAATTAACTAATTATGCTTCAAAAAGGTGTATATTCAAGACATAAAGTGTTGAGAAAGGTGAGAGATTGAAAAGCACCAAATACGAAGCCACGCAAGGCCTGGCGTAGCTACGCAACGGAGGAAGCAAGATGTGAGCACTAGGTGATCAAATAAAGGTTAATTACTAACTAGATGCTAATCGTAAATATTTAAAACCACAAAATAAGTAATTAGCAGGAAAATGCAAGATGCGAATTTCCTAAGGCATAAAAGAGCAAGTAGGCATGTAAACAAGTAGCAAGTCACATAAGCAGATAAAAAATATAAATGAGCAAGATTGAGACGACTAACCTCCACCCTAGAATCAAAATAAAATCTCACTATTTCTTTATATGTTTGATGTACCTCATGTGCCAATATAGAGAAATGCACAAGACAATCTTCATTGTCCTTGGGTTGTGTGCTTTATCGAACTCCATTGAAGGTATCTCACAAGAAAAAAAGAAAATTGGTTAGTATAAATGTGTGCCCCCTTAGAGGTGTAGCTTTGTGACAATTTTAGTTGCATGTCGTTAATCTTAGTGCATGATTATGATACGAGTTGAGATATGAATTGAGCTTAAAGAAAGATGTGAGGATTCATATTACCTATCCATTACCCTCGGTTGCAAACTAACGTGAGGTACAAATAACGCGCATAGTTTGACTAGCCTGTCAAAATAAAATTCAAGACTTCTAACCGTGATAAGTAATGAAAAAAGTTAAATGGCATTAAAAATCATTTGAACACTATCGTGAATTTTCCAGTTTCTTATAGTTAAACCACTTGAACTATAATGTGGCATTGGAAATAGTGTTCAAATATTGGAAATATAGATTCAGCAGGCTCGAGAAGAATGATAATTTCAGGAACCAAACAGTAGTCACAAATGTTCTAACACCCAAAGAACACAACACAGACATAGTATCACGTCCTGAATCCTGAATAGTGTAGTATAACAAAGTGTGAGAAGAAAGGGAAAAAAAATACCCTTTTGTGGCGTGAGTCGAGTATCGCATATTGAAGCCAAAATCAGGTCGGCCATGGCTGCAAAGCCGCTTGCATGATATCATTGGCCATCCAAGTTGCCTCGACAAGATGCGACTCTATTAGTTTTCGCATTCAACTAATTTTTTAAAAAATAAAATTATCATCATCACCTAAGATTTTCAGGGTGAAGGGTGACGGGATAAAAGGGGACAGTGGCCTTGCTTTCTCCGAACAACAAGATCTTTTTTAGGCTCCGTGGATAGCTGTGCCTCACAAAAGAAAAGAAATTGTTAATAAAAAATTATGCCAGATTAGAGGTGTGGCATTACGACACTTGTTAACTGCATAATCGCATAAGGCACATTTCAAGTGAGCTAAAACACATAAAGAAAATAAATTCCATCCCAACAGCCCCAAAAATTAAGAGATTTCCTCTATTCTTTAGAGTTTGGGTACAACAGCAGAAAATTAAGGAAAAACATGTGGCAGCTCCATGGCTTGCGAAAATCTTGCACAAAACTCCAATATTATTCAAATGTTCGCGTGAGGGTAGCCGGTCAAGATATATGTAATAGAATGCATTTACACATTTACAGATAAAAAACAATTCAAGCAAACAAGTGGAAAGACATGCCGACAATTAACACATACGTTCACATAGCGAAAAGTATCTTATAAATGGAAAGATTTAAAACAAAGACCGGCTAGCTATTTTCAACACAAAGTTTTACATTAATACCTCAAAATCCTTACTTCTCTTGAACACTAATTAGTATAGCAACAAACACATCAAGAAACTGAAATGAAGTAATTTAATCACACTGATTCAAGCCACTTAATTCATAATGCAAGCTCTCTATAGTCTTAAACCTACAGCATCGAATGTAAAATTTAGTAGATTTAAATGCTTTTGTTATGAACAGACCCTTTACTAATTATATTATTGGGCTAGAAGCTAAGGTATTTGGGTCAGTTGTTAAAACGAGGAAATACCAACAGATGATGTGGGATGCTGGTTGAGAAAAGCTATTAAAATACTGGTCGACTGAAGGTAATGTGAGAGTTATAAATAGCAGGAATTTGGAATGTTTCCTGGTTTATCCTTGTTTTCCCTAAAGATTGAGACAAAATCAGTTGTAATTCCCTCAGTCTGATCGAATGTCAGATTATTTTTACATTTGTTGAATATGGATCCATTAGTTGGTGCTTTCATTGTCCCTCCTCTACCACAACTGGGTGACTTCTTTTCCACCTCCTTCATACCCATTCCAACAGCCATCTTTTTAAGCCTCCACCTCCAACCCTGAACCCCACTTTTCCGCCTAGTTGTGACTCCATTATATTGGCGGAACTACCTGATGAGGAGAGTAATATGGAAGTTGCAGTTACAGTACATGTCTACTCAGACATGACCGCAGACCTGATGTTCGACGAAATGTCTCACTGCCTCTCCAAGGTGTTTGCTGCTCAACAACCCAACTACAGCAAAACTGAAAAGATTTAACACTTTTCACCATGGGATTGCCATTAAAACTACCACAAGGATCTACAAAATACACTACACCCATTCGCAATTGAATTAAATTTAACAAGAACAGCGAGCTTCATGCTAGAAACCATGTGTATTCTCATTTGCACCTACTAAACAACATTGTACAAATAGTGACGAAGCTTTTTAAACTAATGCTCGGATATAAACACAATTAATGGCTTGACATAGTCATATGCAACACAGAAATAGCACAGAAATAGCATACAAGAAAAATGAAAAACTTTATTCAGAACATGCACAACAAGCACTGACCCGAAGAAAAACTTAGCAAAGAAATACTTGAATTCGGATCCGAAAAAGTCACTGCAAATACAAGCGCAGTAGGATGGTGGCACACGATCTTAATTGAGGAAGATGGTCTGAAGGTGTTCTGTGTTTGTGCGGATGGAGCGTTTCTGTCCGAATTAGTTCATAAAAGGTGAGATATATATGTCAAAAGCGAAAGAGCCGTTGGAAAGTGTTCTGGGCTCTACTATCTTAATTTAAAATTATCATAATAATTAATTAAATAAAAATCATATGAGAAATAAATACTCCTTTTTCAAATGCTGAATATGCTCGAAATAAATTGCAACGGGAATGAATGAAGTTGCAAATTAGCATCAAAATATTTTTGATAAATGATGATTCAATAATTAAAGGAAATAAAAATGCTAAGATGATGATATTATAGTACAAGTGATGTGATTTAAAATATAAATAATGCTGAAAATTATAATAAAATATTATTATGACGATGTATATGCAATAGAAGCCCAAAAAATAAATAAGGATAAAATAGTAATACAATTGGGTTTCAACAACAATGGAAACTCATCAAGCTCGTTAAGTTGCAACATCATATTCTCACCAACCAAGTCCTTATCAAGATTTCGGCCGGCAACTGAAAAGCTTTCCTATAAACCAACTTATATTGTGATGAGTCTCCAATAGGAGTTTTGTATGCAGTACAATATTGTCACGATCCATTTTCTGAACAAGCCAGGACCGACACCCGATCAGTAAACATGACCGAGCGAACCATCTGCGCTTATCAGATCTATTATAACTTCAAAATTTATATGCCAGAAGGTAATACTGTAACCAAATACTTTTAATTAATTTAAATATCTAAAATAATCAAACTCCAAAACTTTATTTGTAGTAACCAATGAAATACTGCTAAGTTACTATCAAAAATATATGAATCTTAACCCACCAACTGTGTCTATGAAGCCTCTACTGATAAACTGACACACTACTTAGGATATGAGATTTCCTGGCCAGCTCTGTAAGTAAATAAAGAAATAGCTAAAGAATGACACCTCAAAGGCGTACTCCACGAATAAAAGCGGAGCTCACCAATAGCACTAGAAGAGAGGAAAGTCCTAACTCGTAGCCTGCTCACCTGCAAAAATGGTTCTTACGTTGTGCCGCAGACCAACATAGGTTCCCAAAAGAGAACATAGTACCATCCATTGTACTCAATGAGTCTCAACGCTAGGGAATGAAACTTTAATAATATATACATTACGAGCGAAGATTCTAAATGCATGTAAAACATAAAGCTTATAAGAACAATTCTAAAATAATTGCATAATGGCAGTTTACGAATATTCTAAAAGAAATTCTTTAATTTTTCTTTCTTAAAAAATATACTTCACTTTATACTTTGGGGTTCCAAATATCCTGACCTATTTCTATCTTAGTCACCGTGTGATCGGCACGGGTTTGATCCCAACCTGATCGAATAGGCCCAATCCACGAGGTGCCACTCGATTTATGGTTCTCAACGCTCATATATCATACCTGTCACGACCCCAGTTCGCTCTCTGTGAATTGTCATGGTGGCACCTAGTCACTACGACTTGGTAAACCTAACAAGTACGAAAAATAAATGGAAACTTGCGGAAATATAAACTAAAAGCCTAGAATAACCAAAAGGAAAACAGTATATCGAATGCCGCTCAGCATATACAATACAACATCTCAAAATTCTAAAAACACTATCCCAAAACCCGGAAACTCACGGGAACACAAGCCTTTGGAATATCAAACAGTCTAACTTCAGAATATCTAACAAGAAAGAAAATACAGAAGGGCAATGTTTAACGGCTAGAATGGAAAGGGACTCCTTGGTCTGCGGACACGGCAGATGTACCTCGAAGTCTCTATAGCAGATGCTTCCCTCAAGGATGGTAGGCCTGAGTAGAAGTACCTGGATCTACACATGAAAAACATGCACAGAAAGGGCATGAGTATACCACAGCGGTACTCAGTAAGTGTCAAGCCTAACCTCGGTCGGGTAGTGACGAGGAAGATCAGGGCCTTACTGAGGTTAAACAAAATATAAAGTTTCAACAGTATAAAACAGACAGTATAAATAAGTACAACAGTGAAATAAAACAGGTTATACAGGGCAACAACAACTATACAGAAGCGGAGTAAACACGGAAGGAAATACAACTTAGTACCAATAGTAACAAAACGGGGATCTCCCAGGATACCGTCCTGTAGTCCCAAATCCACATATCTGATAGGCCTCCCAGGATACCGTCCGTAGTTCAACTCATAGTGCACAGGGATCTACCGGAATCCCGTTCCGTAATCCCAAATGTAAATACTTATTACTGGGGGAATCTACCGGGTCCATTCTCGTAGTTCCATATCACTGTGCATGGGGATCTACCGGAATCCCACATCCGTAATCCCAAAATAAACAGACAAGGGGGAGCTACCGGAATCATACATCCGTAGTCCCAATGTAAATACACAGCAGAGCAAGAAGATATTCAGAAATGGAAATTTCATATCAAGGCAATAAATAATTCTAGCCTAGCATGCTGCACGGAGTTCAGATAAAGCAGGTTGGGCAAATAAGGCAACGAAATCATTTAGACATGCTTTCCTAAGCTAACAACAGGTTTAACAATACAAGTAATGAAAGCAGGAAAAGGAACATACTAGTAAATACTTAATGAAAAGTGGATCTCTCAACAATTTTCACAAGTACGCACTCGTCACCTCACGTACAAGGCATTTTAATTTTCAAATATATCAATCCTAAGGGGAAGGTCCCCCACACAAGGTTAGACAAGCCACTTACCTCGAACTAGATCAAAAATCAACTCGACACCACATCTTTGCCACGAGTACTCGACTCCAAATGGCCCAAATCTATTCAATTCAATTGTATAATGTAAATAACACTTCAAGTAACTGATTCTACAATTAAAGTCTAAGCGAATACGCGAAATTATGAAAAATGACCAAAATGCCCCTCGGGCCATGTCTTAGAATCGGGTAAAATTTATATTTTCAAAAACCTCGTTCTCTCACGAGTCTATACATAACAAGAACACTGAAATCAGAGTCCAGATGACCCTCAAATACTCATTTAAAGGTCTCTTAAACTCAAGCCCTAATTACCCATTTTTCCCAAATTTTTCACCATTAATTAGATCTTTAATCACATAAAAACGAGTTACGAAGTCAAAAATGTTACCTCCAAGTGATTCCACTTGAATCTCTCTTCAACCCTCTTCAAAAGGCTTCAAAGTCGCCTAACAATGGAGGAACCTAGGCTAAAATTCGCGAAATAAACCTTTTAAAACTTTCTACCTAGGCATTTAATTCCTTCTTCGCGAGCACGGTCAAAGTCTCGCGTTCACGAAGCACAAAAATGATGTTGACCAAAAGTTCTCTTACGTGAACGCGATAAAGCCCTCGCGAACGCAATGCTTTACCCGCCTAACCTTCGCGAATGCGTTCCTCTCATCGCGAATGCGATGAGTAAATTCTACTAGGCCAAATTTCCTCATTCGCGAACGCGAAGCCCAGTCGTGAACGCGGTTCACAAGTATCCAGCCCTTTGTGAATGCGGAGCTCCCATCGCGAACGCGAAGGATTAATATTTGCCTTCCTCAAATGACTCTTCGCGAACGCGAGGGTCCACTCGCGAACGCGAAGAGTAAAATTCCTCTGCAACAGCTGAAAAATCTGCAACTTTTTAACAACTAAAAATGATCTGTTGAGCTTCCGAAACACACCCGAGGGGACCTCAACTAAAGGCACCAGCATATCCTAAAACCTTATTGAAACTTGTACAAATCTTCAAAACACCTCAAACGACATCAAATCAACCAAAACACATCGGATTCAAGACTAAGTTTTTCCAAAATCTTCTGAATCACGCTTTTGACCAAAAACCTAACCAAACCACCTCCGAATGACCTGAAATTTTGTACACACATCCCAAATGACATAACGGAACTACTACATCTCTCGAAATGCCATTCCGACCCTCGAATCAAAATCTCACTATCGAACTGAAAACTTCAAAAATTCAACTTTCGGCATTTCAAGCCTAAATTAGCTACGAACCTCCAAAATACAATCCGAACACACTCCTAACCCCGAAATCACCCAACGAAGCTAACAGAACCATCTGATTTCCATTCCAAGGTCGTCTTCACATCGTTCTGACTACGATCAACTTTCCAACACTTAAGCTCTCATTTAGGGACTAAGTGTCCCCCAAACTCTCCGAAACTTAAAATCGAACATCCCGGCAAATCAAAATAGTAGAAATAAACTTGGGGAAAGTAGTTAATAGGGAATCGGGGAATTAATTCTTAAGACGACCTGCCGGGTCGTCACATCCTCCTACACTTAAACATTTGTTCGTTCTCGAACGAGCATAGAGACATACCAGAAGTAGTGAAAAGATGAGGGTAATAGCTACACATATCCTTCTCGGTCTCCAAGGTCACCTCCTCGACCGACTGACCCCGCCACTGAACCTTTACCGATGCAATGTTCTTTGACTTGAGCTTTCTGACCTACCTGCCCAATATTGCCATTGGATCCTCAACATAAGATAGATCCTTGTCTAACTGGACTGAACTGAAATCCAACACGTGCGACGAATCACCGTGATACCTCCGGAGAATCGAAACATGAAATACCGAATGAACTTCTGCCAAGTTAGAAGGTAAGGCAAGCCCATAACCAACCTCCCTAACACGCCTCAATATCTCAAAAGGGCTAATAAACCTCGGACTCAAGTTTCCTTTCTTCCCAAATCTCATAATGCCCTTCATAGACGAAACCTGAAGCAGAACCCGCTCTCCAACCATATAGGAAACATCACAAACCTTCTAATATGCATATCTTTTCTGTCTGGACTGGGCTATATGGAGTCTATCTTGAATCACCTTAACCTTCTCTAAAGCATCCTGAACTAAGTCTGTGCCCAATAATCTAGTTTCTCCCGGCTCGAACCAACCCACCGAAGATCTACACCGCCTACCATATAAAGCCTCATACGATGCCATCTGAATGCTGGACTGATAAGTGTTGTTGTAAGAAAACTCCGCCAATGGTAGGAACTGATCCCAAGACCCTCCAAACT